AGCCTACCCATATAGTTCACATAAAACATGTAGCCTACCCATTTAGTTCACATAAAACATGTAGCCTACCCATTTAGTTCACATAAAACATGTAGCCTACCCATATAGTTCACATAAAACATGTAGCTTACCCATATAGTTATACTATAACATGTAGCTTACCCATATAGTTCACATAAAACATGTAGCCTACCCATATAGTTCACATAAAACATGTAGCCTACCCATATAGTTATACTATAACATGTAGCTTACCCATATAGTTCACATAAAACATGTAGCCTACCTATATAATTCGTATAAAACATGTAGCCTACCCATATAGTTATACTATAACATGTAGCCTACCCATTTAGTTCACATAAAATATGTAGCCTACCCATATAATTCACATAATACATGTAGCCTACCCATATAGTTCACATAAAACATGTAGCCTACCCATATAGTTATACTATAACATGTAGCCTACCCATTTAGTTCACATAAAACATGTAGCCTATCAACTACCAATATAGAAATAATGTATGTAAAAACAAAAGTATATGTTCTGTCTTTTTAGGAGACGGGGTCAAGCGTATCAAGGTAAGGAATTTTACAGTTGATACATTCATTTGTTAATTAACTAATCACTATCCTAATTTATAAAACAGTTGATACATTCTTGAGTTCATTAACTAATCACTATCCTAACGTATACAACATTTGATATATACATTAGTTAATTAACTAATCAATATCCTAACTTACACAGTAGTTGATATAATCATTAGTTAATTAAGTATTAACTATCCTAACTTATACTACAGTTGATATATCCATGAGTTAATTAACGAATTAGTATCCTAACACAACAGTTGATACAATCATTAGTTAATTAACTAATCACCATCCTAAGTTACACATCAGTTGATATAATCATTAGTTAATTAACTAATCAATATCCAAACTTACACAGTAGTTGATACAATCATTAATTAATTAACTAATCACTATCCTAACTTAAACAACAGCTCTGGGTCGATGAATTTCCTAAAATGTTTTGTATATCGTAATTGGTGTTGGTTCATGAATGCCGACCAATTCAAAATTTCAAATCAAACATATATAATCGGTTATGTAGTTAATTAACATAATAAAACACGAAGGTAATCACCGTAATTAGCCTTGTTTTAATTAAATGTATCCATACATCTGTACAGACGAGGCCACGCAGCCCATGAGGAAAAATCATTTAACGTTGGAGAGACATCGTAAGTTTTTTGCTCGGTTAGACGTCATAGATATGCATTAGCTAGTTACTACAACATGTTAGTGGGTTAGACGTCAAAGATATGCATTAGCTAGTTACTACAACATGTTAGTTAGTGGGTTAGACGTCAAAGATATGCATTAGCTAGTTACTAAAACATGTTAGTTAGTGGGTTAGACGTCAAAGATATGTATTAGCTAGTTACTAAAACATGTTAGTTAGTGGGTTAGATGTCAAAGATATGTATTAGCTAGTTACTACAACATGTTAGTTAGTGGGTTAGACGTCAAAGATATGTATTAGCTAGTTACTACAACATGTTAGTTAGTGGGTTAGACGTCAAAGATATGCATTAGCTAGTTACTAAAACATGTTAACTAACGTGAGAGACGTCACAGATTGTAAGATCTCGTGAAAGATACAACATTTACATTTTTCAATTGTGGTCAAGAGAGTTAGTGTTTATAATGTAAAATATATCAATATATATTCAATAAGGGGATAGACAGCAATAGATATTCTACTAGGAATAGACAGCAAAACATATATATTTTCGGATGGAATAAAAATTTGTCAAATTAGGATAGACATCGATAAAAGTATTATTTGTGGATTGACCCAAATAAATATAGGTTCGGGTGTTGGATATCAGTTTTTATTTTCTTTCAGCTTCGTATATGATCACACAGTCGGAGGCTTAGCGAACAAATAGCATTTAGGCTCGATTAATTTGTTTACTTTCTTCAGCGAGTGCAAATGTTCCCAACCCATGTGGTACTGTGTTGCCAACAGCCTAGATCTTATTCCATCTGCCACATTCTAAATGGATCCACGTGATGTCTTGATGTATTGATGTTTTGATGTCGTGATGTGATGTTTTGATGTCTGAAAACCTAGAAATGTGTATGACGCGTATTTTCGTATATTTTATTACAAAGTTTTGATAATCCCATTGCATGTCAAGCTAAAAAACGTTCTGTATTTCTTTAAGTGTTAAAGTTACAATGACATTTATTAGATTGATTCAAATTGTTGCAGAAAACAAAGTGATGTAAAATATATATCTGGTGTGCTTTTCTATCAACTATTTTTAATGTGCTTATTTTATACTGTTAGAGAATTTAGTTTGTTTTTCTGTCAAATATTTCGAAATTTCACTGTGGGGCCCATCCACATTTTAATTTGCGTAATTGTGTGTGTTGTGTGCGTGTGTGTGTGCGTGCGAGCGCGCGTGCTCGCGTGCGTGTGTGTGTGTGTGTGTGTGTGTGTGTGTGTGTGTGTGTGTGTGGACATTTTAAAAGAATTCAATCGCAAAATTATGACAAGATTTATTGAACTTTGAATTAAATAACGAGAGTCATTCAATACAAAATCATATCTTATATAAAATTACGTGAATAAATTAGACTGCATGACTAAATTAGACTACACGAATAAAGTTAAACTACAAAATTGAGACCACATGACTAAATTAAGACTGCCAGACTAAATTTTAAAAAGCATGACTAAGTTAGACTGTAAAACTAAGTTAGACTGTATGACTAATTTGGACTACATGACTAAGTTAGACTGCATGAGTAAGTTAGACTGCATGACTAAGTTAGACTGTATGACTAAGTTAGACTGTATGACTAAGTTGGACTGCATGACTAAGTTGGACTACATGAAAAAGTTGGACTAGTTGACTAAGTTGGACTACATGACTAAGTTGGACTAAATGACTAAGTTGGACTACATGACTAAGTTGGACTACATGACTAAGCTGGACTACATGACTAAGTTGGACTACATGACTAAGCTGGACTACATGACTAAGTTGGACTACATGACTAAGTTGGACTACATGACTAAGTTGGACTACATGACTAAGTTGGACTACATGACTAAGTTGGACTACATGACTAAGTTGGACTACATGACTAAGTTGGACTGCATGACTAAGTTAGACTGTATGACTAAGTTGGACTACATGTCTAAATTAGACTGTATGACTAAGTTGGACTACATGACTAAGTTGAACTACATGACTGTTAGACTGTAAAACTAAGCTGGACTACATGACTAAGTTGGACTACATGACTAAGTTAGACTGTATGACTAAGTTGGACTACATGACTAAGTTGGACTACATGACTAAGTTGGACTACATGACTAAGCTGGACTACATGACTAAGTTGGACTACATGACTAAGTTGATCTACATGACTGTTAGACTGTAAAACTAAGCTGGACTACATGACTAAGTTGGACTACATGACTAAGTTAGACTGTATGACTAAGTTGGACTACATGACTAAGTTGGACTACATGACTAAGCTGGACTACATGACTAAGTTGGACTACATGACTAAGTTGAACTACATGACTGTTAGACTGTAAAACTAAGCTGGACTACATGACTAAGTTGGACTGTAAGACTAAGTTAGACTGTATGACTAAGTTGGGCTACATGACTAGTTGGACTACATGACTAAGTTGGACTACATGACTAAGTTGGACTACATGACTAAGTTGGACTACATGACTAAATTGGACTACATAACTAAGTTGGACTACATGACTAAGTTGGACCACATGACTAAGCTGGACCACATGACTAAGTTGGACTACATGACTAAGTTGGACTACATGACAAAGTTGGACTACATGACTAAGTTAGACTACATGACTAAGTTGGACAACATGACTAAGTTGGACTACACGACTAAGTTGGACTACATGACTAGTTGGACTACATGACTAAGTTGGACTACATGACTAGTTGGACTACATGACTAAGTTGGACTACATGACTAAGTTGGACTACATGACTAAGTTGGACTACATGACTAAGTTGGACAACATGACTAAGTTGGACTACATGACTTAGTTGGACTACACCACTAAGTTGGACTACACGACTAAGTTGGACTACATGACTAAGTTGGACTACATGACTAAATGACTAAGTTGGACTACATGACAAAGTTGGACTACATGACTAAGCTAGACTACATGACTAAGTTGGACTAAATGACTAAGCTAGACTACATGACTAAGTTGGACTACATGACTAAATTAGACTACATGACTAAGTTGGACAACATGACTAAGTTGGACTACATGACTGTTAGACTGTAAAACTAAGCTGGACTACATGACTAAGTTGGACTACATGACTAAGTTAGACTGTAAGACTAAGTCGGGCTACATGACTAGTTGGACTACATGACTAAGTTGGACTACATGACTAAGTTGGACTACATGACTAAGTTGGACTACATGACTAAGTTGGACTACATGACTAAATTGGACTACATGACTAAGTTGGACTACATGACTAAGTTGGACCACATGACTAAGATGGATCACATGACTAAGTTGAACCACATGACTAAGCTGGACCACATGACTAAGTTGGACTACATGACTAAGTTGGACTACATGACAAAGTTGGACTACATGACTAAGTTAGACTACATGACTAAGTTGGACAACATGACTAAGTTCGGCTACATGACTAAGTTGGACTACATGACTAAGTTGGACTACATGACTAAGTTGGACTACATGACTAAGTTGGACTACATGACTAAGTTAGACTACATGACTAAGTTGGACAACATGACTAAGTTGGACTACATGACTAAGTTGGACAACATGACTAGTTGGACTACATGACTAAGTTGGACTACATGACTAAGTTGGACTACATGACTAAGTTGGACTACATGACTTAGTTGGACTACATGACTAAGTTGGACTACATGACTAAATGACTAAGTTGGACTACATGACAAAGTTGGACTACATGACTAAGCTAGACTACATGACTAAGTTGGACTAAATGACTAAGCTAGACTACATTACTAAGTTGGACTACATGACTAAGTTAGACTACATGACTAAGTTGGACAACATGACTAAGTTGGACTACATGACTAAGTTGGACAACATGACTAGTTGGACTACATGACTAAGTTGGACTACATGACTAGTTGGACTACATGACTAAGTTGGACTACATGACTAAGTTGGACTACATGACTAAGTTGGACTACATGACTAAGTTAGACTACATGACTAAGTTGGACAACATGACTAAGTTGGACTACATGACTAAGTTGGACTACATGACTAAGTTGGACTACATGACTAAGTTGGACAACATGACTAGTTGGACTACATGACTAAGTTGGACTACATGACTAAGTTGGACTACATGACTAAGTTAGACTACATGACTAAGTTGGACAACATGACTAAGTTGGACTACATGACTAAGTTGGACAACATGACTAGTTGGACTACATGACTAAGTTGGACTACATGACTAAGTTGGACTACATGACTAAGTTGGACTACATGACTAAGTTGGACTACATGACTAAGTTGGACTACACGACTAAGTTGGACTACATGACTAAATTGGACTACATGACTAAATGACTAAGTTGGACTACATGACAAAGTTGGACTACATAACTAAGCTAGACTACATGACTAAGTTGGACTAAATGACTAAGCTAGACTACATGACTAAGTTGGACTACATGACTAAGTTAGACTACATGACTAAGTTGGACAACATGACTAAGTTGGACTACATGACTAAGTTGGACAACATGACTAGTTGGACTACATGACTAAGTTGGACTACATGACTAGTTGGACTACATGACTAAGTTGGACTACATGACTAAGTTGGACTACATGACTAAGTTGGACTACATGACTAAGTTGGACTACATGACTAAGTTGGACTACATGACTAAGTTGGACTACATGACTAAGTTGGACTACATGACTAAGTTGGACTACATGACTTAGTTGGACTACACCACTAAGTTGGACTACACGACTAAGTTGGACTACATGACTAAGTTGGACTACATGACTAAATGACTAAGTTGGACTACATGACAAAGTTGGACTACATGACTAAGCTAGACTACATGACTAAGTTGGACTAAATGACTAAGCTAGACTACATGACTAAGTTGGACTACATGACTAAGTTGGACAACATGACTAAGTTGGACTACATGACTAAGCTAGACTACATGACTAAGTTGGACTACATGACTAAGTTGGACTACATGACTAGACTTGACTATAAGATACCGGGACAGAACGAATCGTGACCTCTGACCGCTGGTAGAGCATTGTGTACAGATTTAGTTTAACTTACTGTAGACGCTTCTTCTTCTTCTTCTTCTTCGTTCTTATTTATTTGTGTTGAAGGGGATCGAGATTTATCTGCCAATGGGTTTGAACTCGAGACTTTGCTCGAATTTTATCAACCATGAGCTTTTTGCCGACTCGACCACGCCTCCAACACAATTAAGCGTTACGTGTCAACTGGTTTTGCGCCATTGAGGCCATTGACTCCGATTTCAGCCTGCTTTTCTTTTTGGATTTGCTTCCATAGCCTCTGTCCAACCAAGAACAAACTACAAGGCAGCAGTTGTTTAATTTTGGAGTTGTCTCTCCTAGAAGAGTGGTTGTCCCCAGCTAACGAGCCTCATCTGCCCGAGGGTTCGAACTCGAGACTTTTCGGTTTAGCAACCATGAGCTTTACCGACTAGACCACGCCGACCCCTACTGTAGACGCTGTTTTCTACATAGATTAGTGGGTTGAAACATCTAAAGTAGAAATAAAAAATATCACATTCAACTACTTCATTTTGTTAATATGTCTTTACGAAACAAGATAAATAGATTTCCATTGACTCAAAGATTTCCATTGGTTAACTTATTTCCTTTGATCAAACACATTTCCATTGGTTAACTTATTTCCTTTGATCAAATTTCCATTGGTTAACTTATTTCCTTTGATCAAATAGATTTCCAATGGTTAACTTATTTCCTTTGATCAAATAGATTTCCATTGGTTAACTTATTTCCTTTGATCAAATAGATTTCCATTGGTTAACTTATTTCCTTTGACCCAAAGATTTCCATTGGTTAACTTATTTCCTTTGATCAAACAGATTTCCATTGGTTAACTTATTTCCTTTGATCAAACAGATTTCCATTGGTTAACTTATTTCCTTTGATCAAACAAATTTCCAATGGTTAACTTATTTCCTTTGACCCAAAGATTTCCATTGGTTAACTTATTTCCTTTGATCAAATAGATTTCCATTGGTTAACTTATTTCCTTTGATCAAACACATTTCCATTGGTTAACTTATTTCCTTTGACCCAAAGATTTCCATTGGTTAACTTATTTCCTTTGATCAAATAGATTTCCATTGGTTAACTTA